GAAGGATCTGACAGACCCTGCAGCATGTCTCAGGCCTTGTGTGGGCAGGTGATAGGCGCAGGAGAGAGAGAATGAAACTTGCCACTAGTACAGAGCTCAGGACTGCTCAACAACCGAAAACAAAGCTTAATGTTAATTGCTGTTGCCAGTGGGTATCTTTCATTGAACTGGGATGCTCATATTCACTACCTGAAATAATTTCAAGAAGAAATTTTATGAAACATCATATCATAGAATTTGGGTTGGAGGGTCCTTAAACATAATCTAGTTCCAACCCACTGTCCCACCTTTCACTAGATCAGGATGCTCAAAGCCCTCTTCAGTTTAGCCTTGGATATTGCCAGGGAATGGGGCATCCACAACTTCTTTGGGCAACCTCTCCCAGTGCCTCCCCACCCTCACAGTAAAGAATTTCTTCCTAATATCTAATCACTAAATTTATTTAATTCACTGTAGGCCTTCCTTCCCCTCTTAATCTCAACAGTTGGTATCTCTTTTCTTCTACATTTTTCAAATAAAGTGTGTTCTCTTTGGCTAAACTCAGGCCTGGGTAAATTCTACATTATAGCTATGCTTTTATATAAAAATTTTGTAGTTCAAGCTCTTTCCGATTGTGAAGAACACAGAAGGGTAAGGCAATGAAGTCACCTGGTTGAGAAGATTTTCTTCCTTCTCATACCTGCTACTGTTGGTAAGCACAATATAAAATTACTTTCTCTGTTATAAATTACTGCTGGCTGGTAGCCTACTTATTGTCTCTTACCATGCAGCTCTGAATTTACTGCACAGCCAAGAGTGATTGGACTGTCACAGATGTAGGAGTGAGGTGGGTGCCTGCAGCCCAGGAAATGCTGACATTTCTCACATTTCTCATAGGGCACCCACTTGTTGAGAACAAGGTGTGTTTGTACTCAAAGCACCAGTGGATGCCTGCAGTCCCATTATTCAGTACACATCCCTGGCCCCATTTACTACCTATCATGTTACTCATTCCCTGATGGTTTCTTTCATGACATTTGTCCTGTGATCTCCACCACAGACCTGCCATATGATTGTAGCAAACCCATCAGCTGCACTGAAAACCCACTGTTATCTATAACCTTGGAACCTCTTTTACTGGGTATGTTACTCTGTTGGTAACTTTCACGATTCCTAGAACAATAATCCTTGGTTGTGACAGTGCCCGATTGCATCTGCTACTGCCCTGTTTCTCAGTGTTGTCATCACCTGTGTTTTGACTGGGTTACCACTCTCTGTCAGCAGCTACAACCTGGGTAGCAACTTTACTATGTCAGAAAGGACCTTACCAGGAGGGTGAAGTATCAGGTAGCTGGATTTGTTCCTTGGGAAATTATATACCAGCACACTCCCCCCTTCTTCATTTACATTCAGATGGAGTAACTCTGGCCACATCAAATGCTGGTAGGACTGCAAGGCACAATGTTTCCAGCTGAAAGAGCTAAGGAGAGGTAGACAAGTTCTTAAAGGGAAGGTGATGGCTCACTAAGTTTAGTAATAAACTGGCAAAAGACACATACTAATTACTGATTAACAAATTCTGTTGCATCCAGAGAATCAGTCTTGCAGAAATCTTTTCCCTGCACCAAAGCCTTGGAACAGGAGCAGCACTTCAATTCTTCGTGAGCATATGGCATTTATTTTCTTAGCAGCATCTCTCAGGTCTAACCTTTCACAATTGAGCTGGCTCCTGGCACCAAGGACAGTTAAAGAACCTTTCATACTCAAGTACACGCCTACAGGAACTTTAAAAAGGCTCTTGAATGGCTCACACTTTTCTGATGCTAAGGAAGTCATTCTGGCTAGCTTGGTGGTGGAGATCTGTCCCTACACACACAGGGCAAGTGCTTGCATGGATATTACACCAGCTACCATCCAGTTTTCAGCAGATGAGATGCACCTCAGAACTTGTCAGCTGACTGATCGATTCCTTTCCCTTTCCCTAGAAAAAAAGGTAGGAAAGCAGCATATTAAGTGCTTCCTAGCACAAAAATGCACAGGGTGGTGCATTTCAACTCCTCAGTTTTAACTAACATTAGTACCCACTGAAAAACAAATTGCCTGTTGTTGGCACAATATCCTAGATAACAAGGATCCAGTTCATTGCCCTGGAAAAGTTCACAGCAGCCCATCTTGCCATGCCAAGGTGCTCTCAGTTCAGAATCCATGTGCTGGCTGGTCCACATTATTAGGATACAGATGGTCTCCTTTGTACACTCCCAGCACCTGCTTTGTCCGTAGAGAAGGATAACATCAGGCACACATACCTAGCAGTGGCTGGTTGGTCGGTTTTATCTCTTTGGGTTTTAAAATTCCTAATAGCTGATGAAAATAATACTAGAGAATATTATTACAATCAAGATCAGATTCTAGCAAAAGGAAATCCAAGTACCAGCTTAACATCATGATAGCCTTCAGTTTCATCAGGGCTGACATGAACAATACACAGAGAAAAACGAGCATCTCAAAATGAGCAGAAAGCAAAAAGCAGGACGTAAGAAATTGCTTATAGTATTGAATTTAATGTAGAAATTGAAGTTGCAGTATTCAGTCTTTAATCAAACAGCTACAGTCTGGGGACACTCTTCAAATACCTAAACCATGTTGCAAAGAGAATGGGGGAAAGCCTTTCTTTATGCCCACAGCTAAGATAAAAAAGGTCAAGATCTGGCAGATGGTAGATTTTCCTACTATCTACCTTAATACTAGTAATAGCAAAACCTACTTGGAGAGAAAGGATAGTCTTTAGCAATTTATTTCAAAGCAGACAAGTCTGTCCTGCCACATATAGTCAAGAGGCAGCTGATGGTGTCACACTCTGGAAAAAAAACCCCAAGCTTTCACATTCCATTCAAGGATTTCTAACAAAACTATTTCTCAGAAACCTTCCAACTGAATATTCAGCTTTGGAATCTGTAATTAGAACTGCTTTTTGGCTAATCATTTTTGCTACCTATCATTCCTATTGTTAAAGACTTGCAAAGCTTACCAGTTTTACAGCATCAGAAAGCTGGTTTGACAATCATGTGTCATGTAAAAGCAAAGAATAAAGCAGATTTTTCTTCCTCCTACTTAGTTTAAAACTGCTAATGGCTCCTGAAAGCTCTTATTTCTACTCCAGATAGCAAAGTTGAAAAAGTATATATTTTTAAAATCTGTTCGTATTTTAAATAGTATTTAGTAATTACCTTGCTTCTTTTCCAAGTCTGTTTCCCTACTTTCCAAAGTATGTGGAAGTTATTACTACATGGTTAGACCCAGGTCACTGTCCAAATAGCAGGTTGTTAACAGAAGGGCCACCAGGGGATTTGGGGCATCAGCCTTAGTTGTGCCTGGCTTGACTGTGACTGTGCCAGGACAGGGAGAATAGCTCAATCAACACTTGCAGCATATGTGGGCCCACCAGACAGGTGGGCAGCAGTGGCTGCAGCTCACAGGCACTGTACAGTGCAGACTTTGGCTGAGTGCTGTGCCAGCCTCCATCAAACCCGTGCTCCTGGAGCACAACTTTAACTGAACTGACCCTTTCCTCAGAGCTGCACCAGGCTCCCTGTCACAGGCTGAGCAGGAACTGGTGGAATGGAAACACTTTTTTTAAAAAGAAAATAATAATTGATCCCAGCCTTGTACATTTTATCATCTTACTGACACATCTTGTCTAACAACTGGATGTGCTGCCTCACCTGGGAAAGGGCAGCATGGCAGCATTCCATGACAGCAATCCAAATCCCAGGGCTAATCTGTGGGTCCCTTGCTGCACAGTTCAGTCTTCTGGCACCTTCACAGCACAGCAACAACTAGAATGTTTTTGCCTTTGGGCATCTAACTTTTAGTACCCAGCCTCTGCAACAGATGCAACACCACCACCCACCACCCCAACAAGCTGGCACAGTGGGCAGGGAGGCTGCTGGAGCAGGCACATAGAAACAATGCCATCCACAGCAATCCAAGAGGATGAAAAGTAAGTATTTGTCCTGCACTCAAGAGCTTGTGGCTGTAATTTTCAATTATGTTCATAAACACTTCATCTGCGAAAGAGGAGATAGTCTCATTTTCTTTTAGCTAGCTATAAGAAGATTTGTTCCAGGGAAGTTGAGTCCCTTCTTTACCTCAGGAGACTAAACTCAGTTCTCTGTTTGAAGAAAGTACCTTAGGTTCCAGATACATCACAAGCACACTGCTGCATTGTAATGGACAAGGTTTCTGGGGGCAATTTTACTTCCTAAGAGATAGCAAGGATGTTTTTCTGAACCCCTCTTCAAAATGCTGCTTGTCATTCACAGTGGTGTGGCAAAGCTGCAGCTCAGCCTTCTATATTATTATTTTAAAGTAAATTCTGAAATAATCTTGAAGGGTAACTCAAATTGAGTGGCATACTGGGAAGCTACTTACTAAAGGAAGTAGTCTAATTTCTTTCACTAACACCTAGAACAGCTGTACTCAGTGTACACTTGACATTGAAAATTATTAAGCACATATAACGGCAAAACTGAAATTAGTACAAATCATAACGGACATCATATGGATGGTAGTATCCTCCCAAAGCATCCAACCAACTAGACAAAAAAGTCCCTACATACTCCTCTTGACTAGAGAGGAAGAAACCTGACAGATTCTCCCCTGCACAACTTTACTGATATGCAAAGAAAAGATGCACAGCAAAGTCTAAATATATCCTTTAAGACAATGAAGATCACTCTGACCCTTTTTTCTGATGAGCACATGACTAACATCATGCTGGGCAATACCTTTTACAGGTAAGCAAGTCACAGTAGCAGAGGAAAATATTGCTAATAAAGGAACCTACCAAGTGTAAACATTAATTTTCACAGAAGGAATAAAGTGCATAGTCACAGTTCCTTGCTTTTAGCTGTAAAAGAAAAATGTTGACCTTTTTGGTTAAAATCTGATGCAGATTTTCCCCTTAAAAAAAACCAAAAGTTCAGAGTTGACACTGTCACACAAAAATTGACACTTCAAGGTTATGAACAAACTAAGTTTAATCTAAACCTAGTTTACAATTGCATCAGATGAACAGTTTCAGTCTTTCCAGTCAACAAATGCAGCAGAGGCTATGTCTGTATCAGCAAGTAATTCAATATTATAGGAGTGAATCCACAGAACTGAACAGTTGATGAAACTTCTATACCTACAGTATTTACAGTCTGGAAATATGAGACCCATTTTTGTTTGAAGCTCCAGACATCCTCAACACAGGTAGGTGTGGGTAGGTAGGTGGTGGTTTCAACTGCTATGGACTCAGGTCACCATTTAGAACTGGAAGGCAGCCGGTGCACACCCAGAGCCCAGGTCCCAGTTCTGAGTTCTCCACAAGGAAGCAAACTCAAGAGCACCAAAACAGATTTGACAGCCAAACCAGTCTGTGAGATGAGGGGATGAGAGAGGGATTTCCAAACTGCACAAACTACATTGCTGGAGATGTCCCCTAAAGAGAACATATCTCTCAGGATGTTCAGTCTCACACAACGCTTTTAGCCCTGGGATGAATCACCATTTCCTAATGAACTGTGTTGCAATGTTCCCAGTGGAACGAGATGGCAGAATTGTTATCAGCATGTACAGTGATAAGCAGCAGTAGCAATGTAATCAAAATTACAATGATTTGAAAATTTCCTTCTACCCACAGTGTGAATTTTAAGACAGACATACAAAAACAGGCTGCTCAGGAGAACCTGAAAGCAGAACTGCCAATCCTGTTGCAGATGTTTGCAAAAAACAGCTGCTTACTTGCAGAAGTTAAAAAGTCCTTAATATAAAGGGGCACTAAGATACATAAGATGTAATACACTTCAAAAACACAAGCATTTTACAAGTCCATTTTACAAGCCAAAATGTCTATTACATCAAGATTCAACAATACAAAGCTTGTCTTTATATTTAAAAATAGAATATAAACAAATAGTAGTTCACATTAAGACAATTGCCACAGCAAAAATTCTCAGAGAAAGTGCTTTACCTACAGAAAATACTCTAAAGCCTACCAAGCAAGCTCTAAAATTCTCCAACTTAGAAGTGGTAGGGATAGAAACAAAAGAAAAAGTGCAACTGACATCCAAGAAGTGACATCCTTTGCTAGAAATCAAGAACTCCAATTGTGCCATGTGCTTCAGCTGATAGGTTAGCTTCATCTGAGGAGTCACTACTCCTAAATATGATACAGCACACCATTTTGAAAACGTAACAGAATAGTTGATTTACTTACAAATGGCTTTATTGAAGCTATAACTTAATAAACTTTGTTGTCTCACAGACTAAAAATTTAACACAAGAAAAAACATAAGTAACACAGATTTACTGATGCTATCCAACTGGTAGAATTGAACCTGAAGGAAGCAATTCTTTCAAGATAAAGAATTAAGACTATCACAGGACTGAACAAACAGAGAGGGAAATACAGTAATAGAGTACTTCACAGTAAAATACCTCTTTATTTGGAATATATTTAAAACTAGCTCTTTATTTCAGGTAAGAAAAATAGCATTCTGACTTTTAGTCAGCGCTGATTCTGGTAATTTGCAACATTCTAAACAGATAGAAAAGTTATTTGCACGTTGTTGCCCATTAACAATTCCCCTAACTGTCCATTCACTGCCTCTTTTTACCTTGTTCTTAAATATGTTGGAAGAAATTCTTCAATAGTGTTTGTATTTAGATCTTGATTAAGAATGACTTGACAGTGACTCAGCATTTATTATTATCTCACATGCAGGTTTTATGAGCTAATTTGAAAAGAACAACATGGTTCAGAAGCTGAACTACAAAGACAATTGGGAGGGCAACTATCCAGGAAGACTGTGGTAGAACAAATTCCATTCTTCTACTATACAGTTTAGTACTGTAAAGTAGCAGCAGTTTTAAGAACTTCTATACCTCTGTGTAAGAGAGCACTGAAGAACAGAATACTGGGATATTGCTATTAAAATTCAAACAACAAACTACTTCATATGTACATTTTTATACTCAGTACAAGTCTAGACTCTCTTGCTATGCTGTAACTTGAAAGTTTTAGGTAATTAGATCATGCTGTAAACAAAGACATAAAATATTTGTATAAGCTCTACTGGTTTAGGAGTGTGTATAAACACCTGCCTTCTAAAAATAAAAAAGCTGTTTAATTTTAATTTATGAGTATTTAAGTAGGTAGCATACTGTAAAACAAGTTTTTATCCAATTAAAAATGAAATCTATGCATTTCATGGAAGTTTTATACAGCATTTGTAACAAAGTCTGTGTTTTTAGATACCTGACATTCATTTTCAAAATGAGATAGACAGAGAAAGAATTCTCCAAACAAATGTATTAATTTTTGGTCTTGGAATTTCTTCTATCCTCTGTAGCCAATACAAAGCTAAAATAACCGCTGTAAAGCAGACTTCCATATGCAGAAGTTTTTTCAATGCAGATGAAAACAATAATGATATTACAATGCTTAAAGATACAAGTTTGTGGCTGTTTCAAGCAGAATTTTAAAAACATTTAGAAACACCAAAAATGGGCTATATCAGGAAGCAATCTGATACTCAAATAAATAGAAAATTTGCGTTTTAATGTCACATTGAATTTTAGTACATTTCAATCCAAGAAAAAATAAACAGACATAGTAATGAGTACAGGATTATATATATTACAATATGCCTTGTTATAATACATTTGTAGCTTCATGATAAAAAAACTTGGAGGGCAGATGGAGTCAGAACAAAGCATTAAATGCATTTCTGGAGTAAGTACTTTTATTTAATTTCAAAACCTTTAAACAGCTTTAGACCTCGGCGTTTTCTTCAAAAAAAATTAATTAGCTACCATGGGGCTAGCAAGTATGTCTTCTATGTTTAAATGACACAGAAAATGCTTTTCCCAATTTGACATACAATGAAAGGACAGATGATTTCAGAAACAGCACCTATGGCAAACTCCACTTTGACTTTGACCTAGAAATGCATGTTACTGATCTCCACAAGGAATCCAGCAAATTTTGCAAGTTGTCCATTTCACATGAAAGCAAGAAGAAGGGTTATCATATGCAAAAATATTTTTTCCACTGTTCTTAATGTGTAATTGAAAACTAAAGGCATGGTCTCTCCATTATAAAAAAATAAAGGTACAACGGAAACTCTAAAGGAAGATATTCAGCTATAGTGAAGTTGCAACCCTCTGAAAGGAAGGAAAAAGAAAAAAAGTCAATTAGCTAAGCTTTGTGCTCTAACCAAACTACTTACAGTGATTTTCAATGGCAAAAGCCCATGCTGACTGGGTGATTTGACAGTTCCAAATAATTATTTGTAATAATTTTTATTTGTATACAAGGACACTAAAATTATCCAGTCATGCAATGTTCACTTTAAGCATTCTGCATCTCTTTTCCAATTTTATAGCTAAGGATCTTGTTCCAGTCAATCTTGGTGCGGGTAACTGGCAACTGTCGACGTAAGGCCTTGAAAGTAGTGTCCGACATAGTCTGATAGTTCTCACTGATAGCAGTCTGTCAAACACAAAGTCATACAAAACAGAGACACGTGAAAAACACAACTAGGATGCCACATAAACATTCTGTGACTCAAGTGACCTGCTACTTCCTAAACAGGCTTAATAAAAACATTCTGAATTGAAATAATATTTAATGAAGAAAAGCTGCTAGATATAGATTGAGACTATGTGAAGAAAATTAGTGAGACATATAATAAACCTGGCCATAGCCAAGGTGTTTCAGCAAACCACAGTGTGGTTAATCAGCAGCATGAATAACATGCTGATGAGAGTTCGCTCATACATCATTAATTCCAGACAGAGAAGTCTTCCACTGTTTTTCCTGTGGGGATGCTGAAGTCAGTCTACCACATTATTTGAACTTGAATATAATGCACGCTATAGATACTTCAAAATTTTTATTAAAGAGTATTTCTTTCAAACTAACTGACAACACAGTGTCTGAAATTTACCTTATGTTCAAAGCCTGATGAACATGTATCCACTTATGCAGAGGGTATCTACAACAGTTACACTTTTCTAACTTTGAAATTACTAATTGAAAGAGGTAATATCTATAGTCATATATAGCAAAGCTGTCTAACAGAGTAGCCTCTGAACAGAATCTGTACAAAAATTCCACTTGGGGAATGCACTAATGCTTTATGACATCAGAATTGCTGATACTTAATCATGCAAGAACTTTTCTGCTCTCAAAAGATTAGTCCTGTTGTAATGGAAGACAGGTGAGCACAATCACCAGAAGGTGTGAAAATGCAAGACAGAATTAGCAGCATGTAATCTATTTATATGGAACTGCATTACCTTGCTGGTTACAGAATACTAGCTTTGGTTAAGTATATGGTAATGCTATAAATACGAATAAGAATACAGTATTTGTTTCAATATACCTGATATTCATTTTCTGCAGCCTCCACAATTTTTATAAATTCCTTCGCTGTCTGGGCTTCATTCTAGGAAAAAAACACTTGAATTAGGTCTGATGTAGGACCAGTTGGATTATGCTTTTCCTATAGCTACAAGTGATGTCAGGTAGACTCAATGAGAACATTTGACCATTCAGTGGCTAAACCAAAACTGAGCATTCATCCAAAAGGCATACCCCATATGATGATGATGATGACAATGACAATGTTAGAAAAATAAAACCAAAGTGCAACAAGTGTAAAGAATGCCATCAAGGTCATTAACATATTTTGATTAAGAATTCTATGGTATGGTAAAAGGACATATAGAACAGCATTTGGAAAGATTACAGTGCCCACCCAAGTCTCTAAAAACATGCAAAGTACAGATAACAACATAATCAATGCTAAATTTCCAGTACAAATTCAAAACTTCAAGAACATCTAACCCAGAAGTTATAGTAGAATACAACCAAGAAACCAAAACAGATTTGTTTACCACTAAACATTCTGAATCTGGAGACTAAGCTGAGGAAAACACTAGACTTTATGTATCTGGTATTCCAAAATCATCCCCAAATACATCTTGCAAAAATGAGGGTGCAAATTTCATCAAGACTGACAAGGATGAGGCCAGAAGAGAAACTGCTTAAGGATGCAAGTGTGGTTTTTGTGTCTTTTTTTTTTTAATAAAATACATCCCATCAGTCAATCTGGAGGTGTATTTGTTGTATTTGAAGTCTCCAGCAGGAAGTGAGGGTTCATGAATTTCCAAACTTCCAATTAGCATTGGAGACATTCCTAAGAGTGCTTTTGCAGAAGCTGTTGAAAGTTAGAAGTGTTGTTGTCCAGTGTAATCCCTAATTCCTGCAAAAGCGAAGACTTGGAGAAAACTCTGACAACTTCAACCATAACTGGCTCAAAGTTTCAGTGAAACTGCACCTAAGAGTTGTGAAAGTGCTCTTGGATACTGCAGGAGACAAGAAGGAGGAGGCAGAGAGCAAGGAGATGAACAAATAAAAAAGGTTTTGACTTTTCAGTGAACTGGGGAAATGCTCTCAAAGGCTCTGCTAATGAAAGGAAAAATTCAGAGGTATGGAGTCTTATTTGTCTCAGAGGAAAACAAGGGATAAGAAAATAACCTTCAGCAAAATTATTCACAGCTCTAGCAACAAGAGAACTCTTCAGTCATTTATTTCTGTTGTTGTTTTTAAATGGGTTCTCTGACAAGCAACAAAAAAGAGAAGTCATTGAAGGTCCTTTTAATCTACCTACCATTTCTTCTGTGTGAAATTAGATCTTGTACAGCCTCTGCCCTCTATGAAGCTCACAGCCAAGGTTAAAAATTGGTAACCAGCAGCATACTTGCTTTTGTTTTAGCTAAGTTATGTAAAAGATGTTCTCCTACTCATTGGTCTGCTGCTGCTTTACTGAATTGCAAAACAGGATTAAGTTTCCTCCCAACAGTAAGTAAAGCAAAAGCTATTGACAGGAGAACTGCATCCACATAACCTTCCCTGAAGCAACTCTTATTTGAATGAAACACTAAAAAGATCCCTTTGCTCCAGGGAGTCAGAAGTAATTTTATATCTACAGCTCCAGAAGTGCTATCAGTTGGCACCACATTCCCCCATTTTTTCTGGTGCTATTGCAACTAAAAAGCCAACAAGCCTTGCTTTATATTAACAAACAATGTTCTTTATTGATGAATCGAGCTATTGAGCCAAATTAGCCACTGTTACTCGTTATCATTAAAATACTTCTACTGTTCACTATTACAATTTCTTTGCCAGCTTAACCTCACTGTCTTAAATTTTATTAAAAAACACTCCAACTGAAAATCTTGCCATTTATAAATACCATTATAGACATTTCAGAAGTAGTAGCTGTTTATGAACATTATCAATCCTTAGAAGATATATCTGGTACTATTTCCAAACAATTTTTATTTCTATTGTTTGCTCCCCATTACTATAATAATCCATTTGGCAAGAAGTTGAAAAAAATTATGCTTTAAATAAGAAGTATGTTATGATTCTCAAGTTGAACCATCTCTGAAAGGACTTTTTGTACAGAGCAAGACACTGACAGCACCAGTTACAGACTGAGAAAATGAAGGGAGAATACCCACTACTGCTTCTCAACTGGTACCATGTGTTTACTATTTTAGCATACTGATCTTTCAGTAAGCAAAGGCAGTCATCTCCTAGATTGTACTACAAAAGTCAGTTGTTTTAACTCAAACCTCCTTCATATTCAAAAAATAATTCTACAGGTCATTCAAAAATTAATTCTATAGATCCTTCTGCAGACCAAAGTTTAAATACAACAGAAGTGCAGGAAGACTGACAACAAGCTACTCAAAGCTTTAAAATCAAAGTTAATGTTGCTTACATAAGCCACATGCAAGCATACATTAATTTTTTCTCAACTTTTTTTAAATGCTAGCTACATGTTAGGCAGAAGTAGTAAACATTACAAATAAAATACCTGTAAATTGGAACATTCATTCCCATACATGTAGAAGAACAAACTTCTCAGAACTTCTGAGCTTTTCTTAAGCTTGCTTTATTTTTAAATTAAAAAGTCACTTAAATATACCCACTAAGGCCCTTAAAGGTCACTTACAGACACTGTTAGAGAATCTTGTATGTCTTTATGGCTCACCAGCTGAACATTACCATCTTCATAATAGTGAACCTACAGAAAATTAAACAAAGAACCTCATATCAAGTTTTACAAATCAACAACATGCAGGAAAATCAAAGTGTTGTGTTATTTATCATAGTAAGAAACCCCCACAAATCAGTCAAAACCACATACAGAATGTTACACAACAAAAACGAATAGAAAACCAAAACAATGTAGAATTTACTGGTTTTGAGGGGCTGAAGAGGCTAGTCTGGATACATAAAATTTGAGTTGATGTGCCTTAAGTAGTATTTAAAGCAAAGAACTTTAGGTTTTGGTTAACATACTGAAGACAACAACACCTTATGTGACCTTACTAAAAACTCTTGAAATGAATAGACTAGACCATTCTAAATTGTGATGATATATTTAAAATTATAATAGTTTTGGGAAGGTATCAGAATACCGGGAAGATTTTCTGCTTCCCCAAATTGTCCCCATTTTCTAGGGACACTGCAATGTTAAGCTTCCCTTTCTAGCTCTGTCTGGGTTTGAGATTTTCCTCTATTAGATATGTCTCATAACAAATGCTAGTATTCATCTAGACAAAGCAGCTCCCAATGTTAGACTGCAAAGCAGAATGAAATTATTTATGCTTGAAATGCTGTATCTACAGGACAGCTTCCTTGATTATTTTGCAGGAGAGCACTAAAACTCTACTCAAGCTAACACTACTTTTTAATACAGTTGGGACAGATATGGAAAGATTTAGTTCCTAATAAAATTGTTGGAAAACTTAAAAATCAGGAAGCCTATATAAAACTGTATGTGATCATTAACAATAATTGATATACAAGCTCTGCAGGTCATTGACATGTACATAGGCATCTTTGAATATTTTTTACAAGTTTGATAAAGTCAAGATAGTCAACATAGCTGATGTTATGAGAAAAATGAAACATTTGTGTCTCACCCTGTTAGACAACATTACACAGTTTTGAGATTAATACAAAACAGTATAATTTCCTATGCATTATGATAATATGTGCAAAAGACCCTCAACTTTATAAATAACAAAAAACATGACACACAGTAAGATACACATAAGGAAAGATTTCCTATACGAATAAAACATTATTTCCAATGATTCATCTTAAAATATTAATTTGCTTATTGTCAAATACTTCTTTTGGAACATAAGATATTAACATAACCACAAAAGACGTTTCTTTTCAAATCAAACATTGCTGGGTAAAACCTCTGCCAGTCTTTTTCAATTTATTTCCTAAATGATAAGAAGTGTTTACTCAGTGCACAATTCCAAGAACTCCCAATGAAGCAGCAGAACCCAGAGAAATGTGTTTGCCCTTGTCCATCACGATTCACTGCAGAGAGCCCAAACCTGCCCAGTGCTCTGAGGCCAACACCAGCACAAACATCGTATCTGTGTAACTGAGTCACATTCTCGGCTAACACTCAGACCTAAAAGCTTAGCACAGATGGAGAGTCAAGTCTAATTCTGGGATGTGTTGTATCTTAAACAAAATACAAGAAGTAACTGTTCTATACTATACCTCACTGCTGACATCCTTCTAGAATGCTAGGTCTGGGTTCAGAAGACTACAAGAAGGAGGATGTTTATGAACAGAACCTCTTGAAAAGGTTAACTAAGGAGGGATGAGAATAACAAATTATCTAAGAGATAAAATTAGCAACCAGTACACTTATCATTGTTTTCCATGCACAGTTGGAGCATGTTAAATGCCACAGGGACTTAGTTTTAGTAAAAGGCTCTGCTTTTGCTTTTCCCCTTACACATAATTAAAGAAGATTAAACAATAGAGATTGTGACAACTGAGAATCTCCTACATCAGAATTACTCATATTTACAAAAAAAGGAAGAAATTGTGGAAGTGATCTTAAAAATACTGAAGACACCTGAAGATAGCAGGTGATGTTGCAATTTCTCCCAACTTGTTAATAAAAGGTCTTATCAGAAACAGTGCAATAGTACTGCTGTCAAAGATTTTGCAAACAACAAAAAAAGTGAAATTTCAGTACTCTATACTAATGCCGTAGACTTCACTTTCCAGAAAAATATTTTGCTCCTTAAATATAAATAATTAAAGTGCTTTTTTTGTTTGTTTGTTTTGTGAGGCGAGGTGAAGACAGTGCATTTCCACATACACTGAAGAAATTGTACACAATTTCTGAAAATTTAAAACTGAGTTCAAAATTCCTTGGTGAAACAAGGGAAAAAGTAGAACTTTTCATCACTCTCCAGAACAGACTTCAATGAATATAAATAATGACTTGATTAACTGTGAAATAGTACTAAAAGACAAAATCATCTGATACCCAAATGGAAAAGCTGAACCTGACTGAATTCCTAGTTCAGACTATTATTTTGGCTGCTCCCCTAACCTTTCCAAGAATTAGGTGGACACCTGCTTGCTTGTTCTGGAAAACCTCTTATGGCATTAACCAAAGTGCATGCTGTGGAGAAAATGCTTGCTATGCTCCAAGTTGGATTTAAGTGACAAAGTCTTAAGAAGCCTAGAAATTACTTAAGTGCTGCTTATCATGACTGTTGTGATCTGACAACATAATAATGGGTGTTCACATTTTGACTATCATTCCAAATGTTGGCACCAGCATGGGAAAGCAGATTCAGGTTCCTCTTGCTTGGGTGAATCTAAACGCACCTACCACATCCTAAAATAACATCCTAGCCTCAGGCTAGGAAAACATTGCTTTGCATCTTCCTTCTGCAGTCATCACTGAGCAGTAAGGACAAGCAAAACTCATGGGGGCACAAAAGCAGCAAGAAAAATAAACTTGACTCTGTCATGTTAAAAAAAACAAAAACAAAACAACAAGGTACTACACAGAGAGTCAGACTGCACTGTTTCTGGTCCCTGATCCCAGGACTGTTTCAATAAACTGATGCAATGGATGTGTACACATGCCAGGGAACCAATCCAGGAAGTAGAGTCTCCCTGCCTACCACATGACAGTCAGACTTCCTTTCATCTCAGAACTTCTGCCTGCTTGGAATTCTTCCTTTCTGAATGCCCTAAAGCCAACAGGAAAGCCAAATTCTGAATGAAAAATACACAGATTCAAAAATTTCTGATAGTGGAATTGGTGAAACAAAAGGTTTCCACCTCTCTGAACAATACTGTAACATTAAAAAACCCCACTATCAGTTAAAATGAAAAAAAATTCTACTTCAGAACAGGCCTACCCTCAGCAAGAGCTTGTCTCACTGTGAACTCAACAGGAAACCAAAGAGATATATACCTAGCTGAGGTGAATACACCTTCCTAAATCCTCTGAATCATTACATTAAACACATATTTTATGTTTTTAAGGATTAGATAAATATGCAAATAAGTCACTAACACTTAAGTGAATGAGCATTGCTGCCTTGCTTATTGTGTCTCCATTTTCCCTTAACATATTTGATACACTTGCCTGAGTCTCCCTTGATAATGACTGGAGACTTTATGGCTCAGGACACAGTTTGAGATAAGCATACCTGAATTTTCAAGATGCCAGCCACTTGAGTGGTTGAAGGGGTGATTGTAAACTTCCATTCTGACCTCCAACGGCCATTCCTTAAAAAACAGTAAAACAGAAACTGGATTGGTTATGAAAAAAAAATCCCAACATAGTAAAAGGAAACCGAAGAATGAAATTTGCAGTGCAACTACACATGCAGAAAATCTTCCCCTAAAGATTCAGCATCATAATCAATCATGAACAGAACAGAACTATTTCCCAAAATATTCAACCTCAGTTTTTCATGTGGACCAAGGAGATTTATTATTAAGGGCCATTTAATGGGAGGACTTAACTTCTGAAAATGCCTAAACCCTCCAACATCCTTTCTCTCTTGTAGTATTAGTTAGGCACACACAGTCGGTATTTTGTTTCTAGGAACTGGATGTTTTGCTAGATCAGCTGAAGTCACACTTCACCTAAGGCTATGAAAAACTTGACTGGAGGGAACATTAAAGTAGCAAGACTTTCTGCTGTGTTTAATTGTAACTAGGCCTTTCAGCTCTTCTAGCATTTCTGTTCCAGGACAACTATCTCCTTCCAGTTTCCTTCCATAAATTCTGAATCCTTGCCAAAATGCCTAAAGGGAGTTTCAAACACCTGGAAAACAGTAAAGAAATCACCTGATTTCTTTCCTGTAAACTAGACATCATCTTATCTAGCTATGAGATTAGTGGATTAGAAGGTTAGTACTACAGAGCTGAATTAAGAAAGCATTGCAGCAGTCCATGATTTGTCTTGTGTTTGCACTTAAAGAAGGAAAGAAAGCTGATAGTAGATGTTCCAATCTTGCTAATGTTAGGTGTAGATTCCAGTGCATTCAGCACGGGGAGACAAAGACATAAACTATTAAAATTAAAAGCTACTAATGAATCTATATAATGACACAGATATTAAAAATGGTAACTCAACTATAAAGCCATTGGGTATTATTTCAGAGAATATCCAAATTATCACTAAAAATAGACTAAGACAATTCAGAAGCTTGTTGGCATTGCTAAGAAAACTGAAAGGGTTGCCCAGCTTAGTGACACTAATACTACTAGCAGCCTTATAGACCGACCCACTGATTATCAGAAACCTTACATGCTGGATTATACCTCAGGTACAATTCTAGTTTTTGAATGCCAGGGATTCAAAGGCTAGCTAACAGATTTATATGTTTCTCAGCCACTCTGTGGTCCCTTGAAGTTAACATGACCACAGTTGTTTCCACTCTGGGATATAATTTTTGTCCTTAAGTTGCTATTAAAAGGAAAAAATTCAAGTTCAGAAGAATTTTTCTGTAGGAAATGCTCTAGTGTAAAAAAAACACCATTTCTTTATTTAGCTTGGCTAACTTAGAATGTTTTGTAAGAGATTAACTTTCCTCTTCTTTCTTTAATAAGACATCTATCCTACTATGCTCATAGTTTTTCAAATAATCACGAAGTATTTTTTTTTGTTATACATTGTTTTTTCTATCACCCAACAAACTTACTCCCATAGTAGGATGACAAACTTGCAAATGCCTAAAAAGCTGGAACACCTTGAGAATAAGTATTGGCTGTGGCTTAGGCTGGATATCCAGCCATACAGCTGGATAACTGAGGAATCTGGTAAACTTGGAATCCATCCCTCCATCTCTGTATCTCCCAAAGCAATATGCATTCATTACAACTTGCTAAGAACAAACATTAGAGTCTGATTACCCCTGAAAAACTCTTAAAAACATAGTCAGTATTTACCCATAGATGCCCAATCATAACTTTAATAAAGAAAACTTTCAAGAAAGATTTTTTTCCATCTGTAAAAGGTTGCTACATAGCTGTTCCTCTTCTTAAAAGACTACAAAATTAATTATTTGGAATATCAAAATTCATTCATACTTCTAAATTAAAATGAAAACCAGTATTATTTCAAATTACTTCTAATATTGATGTAAAACATGAAAACTTAACTAGTCAAGTTTAAGTCAGTAAGAAAAAATATTTATTAGCTATGCAAATTCAATAAAAATCAGTGTATTGGGCAAATAAGTGATACATACACACGCTGAAATTACAACAGAAATGCAATATCCACCTTCAGAATCAAAACCCAAAGATTTCTGTACTTCCATTCATTACCTGTGGGGTTACCAATATAAATTGCAAGCAGATGCAATATAGCAAACCAAATAATTAAATATCTTTCTTCTGACTGCATATATAAGCTATCTTTAGGACATAATGTCCTTAACCTACTCCTGATACTGTGATATTTTATGTCGACTCTGGCCAGTTTCCTGTATGGAGCTATCCAAAGTTCACTTCAGACTGTGGAAAACATCATTCAAGAAAGTCCAGGAAAAAATTAAAGAAAGCTGCAGTTTGTAAGATTTTATTTAATCCAAAATCACCTTTATCTGCCTAACCCCAAAATTGATCAATTAAGTCCCACTGCAAAGTGATTTTTAGTCACATTCTTTCTCTGAGAAATTCAAACTAGAAGGAGCTGTTCTTATTCTCTCAGACACAAAAGAAGCAAACAAGCCAAAGCAACTGTTTTAAGGAAGGCAGCCATGAATATCGGTGTCAGTGTCATAAACAGGAAAATTATTCACGTATGTCATATGCTTAATATGGAATTTTGCAAAGTTCTGCAAAGGAGATGCAGGTACACAGTCTGCCATTTTACTTACCACAGAGGAAGAGATTTCTACAGTTTTGGCAGAAAAACTTGGGAGTGGGGTGGAAAGAGAATGGTCCCAATCAAGTTACGCATCCACCTTCTTCTCTGAACTAAGGATTATCAGTGTTATGGCACTTATTCAGTTTGCTGTATTTTACTGTCTGTGGATCCATACAGCAACTTACCAAAAATTTTTTGCTTGAAACTGATGGCTCTCTATGCATGCAATAATGGTTTGCTGTCCATCAATTGTTTTACCATACACCTTAATTAAGGAAAAAGAAAAAGAAAGAAGAAAAAAACAGAACAGTCAAAATTTGAGTAGACCTTGCTCAAACTGCTTAGATATCTGGTTCTTCTAATGTTACATAAATTAAAATTTCATTTTATAACCATTATGGTTATACATAATATTCTGTACATGAAACAATAAAGCATTTATTACAATGCATAAAATAGCTAAGATTTAAAAACCTGATGGCCAATCAACTAAATTTTATATATTGTGAACTCCCTTTTTTTACCACTACAGAAATTCTAAGCCTATAATAGTGACTACTGAGACAATATACATTTATTACCAGCTGGGTTTCAAACATCAGTTATTCTACCAACTATATGACAATTTAAACCTATACAGAATAGCAAAAATGATGGGTTTGGTCCTGTTTTCTGCTTTATCCCCCAAATCAAATACTACTAAAAATTATCTCGGTGAACATTCAATCTGGTTTCCTTTACAGGAAAAGAAACTCATCTGACTGCCTGGGAATCCAATTCAATTTGTTAACTCAGCAGCTGATTTACTTTTCCCCCTCCACTAGTTAATTTTTCTGTCACATAAAGCACAGAACAGCTATCAATAGATCAGTGTGCGGAGATTTAAATAGTCATAGGGCTTGTAACAGCAAGCAAATACTATTTTAGTCCAGAGTAAGAGGTTTTATTTTAAGAAGTTATCAGAACCACCAATTCTGGTGATAAGAACACAGCACCTGGATATAAAGGAGATATGATGGAGCAAAACCAGTTTGCTTTACTAAGACAGTTTTGTCAGTAAACCAGGTCATGGGTAGACATTTCTATTTTATGGAATTTTTCTCCCCTTCTAAGCAACCATAGCCAGAGAGCCAAGACCAGCAGGATCAACCTGCAGCAGTCCACAAAATGTCTAAATGCATTAAGAAATTTAAATAAAAATGCTCAACTACAGAGTTAAATCTGCAGTATGACCTGCAGTAACCACCCACTAATAATTCAATAGCTAAAACACTAAATTTCTGAAGCTTTCTTGCATTTCTCATGAGCCCCCAACAGGAATAAATTTTTTACAGTCAATGATGTCTTTCTGGTTTACAAATAGCTCCCTTTTAAAATTTTATCTATCTATAGTGGTACAGTGGTTATGTAGTTTAGCACTTACTGTGCAGACACCATTTGGATAGTGTTCCTTCACATATGCTTTCATTGCTGTTTCAACTGAATTTCTCCAGGACTCTATGGCATTTTCAACTTCATGGGGTCTAGGATCAGTAGCCTCCTTTCTCAAGTGATCAAATTTAAAAGAAATCTTGTTCTTGGGATCCAGAAATTTTCCATTTCCCAAATCACCATGTTCTGTTATCAAAACCTGTAGTATAAAATTTAAGTTTAAATTTATTTCATTATATATATATATATTTATATTATATAAAATTTATTCAACCATAAAATTAGTTAATAACATTTGTTATTCAGTAAAAAAATTTAAAATGCCATGCCAAATTTAACTATATCCTGCATTTAATGGAAGCTTAATCACACCCAAAGTCTTACATATTAAACAAAATATGCATACAGCAAGAGAGGAGAAAGCAAATATGATACACTGCCTCAGAAAAGCAATCTTGAATCTTACTGTCTTACTGCAACAAACAATGCAAGACAGAAATTGATGTCTTCTACTACTAACAATGGAGCAAATTGTTTTTACAGCTACAGAACACTGAATTCAGCCAACACTGCAGACCAAAATTTCAAGCTCTTTAGATACCCCTAACTGATTAACTTATGGGACTACTACTAGTACTATTGAAGGAGCACAACCTCTACATTTGGTAGGGCAGATGCTTTTCTTTCAATTTTCTTGCCAACAACTGTTCCAATGCCAGAATGTCTTTAACAGTTTAAGGAAGATTGCAAATATTTCACTGTATTCATACCTGTTCATCGTAACCGTCAATTTTTACAGGAGTAAACTGGTCCAAGTTGTACTGTGCAAATGCACTACAAGAGAAAAAAAACAACAAAAGATTGCATCAAGCACAATCTTCTTCCTTAGTAGCAGTAAAGGGATATAAATAATAGCTAATAATCTGCGCAAGGATGCATCAAAAAAGATATTAATGCTTTACCTAGCAAGCCAAAATTCTTGGAATCACTTTGCTCCACTCAGTGCTTGTATTACAGATTCCAACTGCCATTACACAAAAATTTACATTCAGAAGTAACCTGATGTAGACAAACACCTAAGCTTTACAATAACTCACAGAAACTGGAGAAAAGATAAAGTTTAAATTCCACAGGGATTCAACCTACTAAGCCACATAACTCCATTCTTTCAGATGCAACAAATTTTGGCATGAAAGCACAGTAGGCATAATGTTCTGATACAGAAGTAGGGTCTAAGGATGCAGTATCTTACAGATGTTCAAGTAATTTCTACCATGAAACAAAGTTGCTCTAATCATTAGGATACAATACAGATCTCTCCTCTGCCATGAATTTAAACTTGATCAAAGATGCCCCAGACACACAATTAGGGTTTTACTTGCCAAGCACATATCTTTAAATGAACCACTTACTGATTACGCAAATCCTACTGAAAAAAACATCTTGCTTTCATGCAACTGAGTATGTGACATCTGATACTTACTGGGCTGCTCCTTCCCTGAGAAGATTGTCATTATTAAGCAGCAACCGAACATCTAAAAGGAGGCATTTACAACATATAAGTACAGTTAACTCAGAAACTTGTTTCAGTCACATAACAAGTATCAACAGACTACAAAACAACAAAAAACCCTACTCCATACCCACAGAGATTACTAGGTAGGAAATTTATTGCTTCTTATTTTATAATTTTGACTGAATGAAATTAAAATAATAGTATAGAAACAGACCTCTTCCAAGACAATCTGGCAGAGATTTAAGCTGTATTCTACAGGCTCTAGAAATCTGTCAATCTAGTTTTTAGAGAAGCTCTGAATGAAACCAACACAGAATTCTACCAAGTTTCCTTTAAAATATTACCCACTCGCTCATACTATGTTATTGTTACCGTATTCTGATGACACTGATATGGTATGCATGGAACTTACTGGATTTTAAGCCCTACCATTTTTCGTCTCATTTCTAAATGACACTCACTAGGCAGAAGATTATACACCACAATAGCATTTTTTCTACCATGATACAAGAAACATATGAATATAGAATAAAGTCAAGACTTGCTGCATTGTGTTTCAACATCCACATTTTTAAATACTCACCTCAAAATTACTTAATATTTATTGTGCAGCAAATTTCTTATTTATATACTTGACTTTACTAGGCCCTGTTTGAATAACAATTTAGTTCACTGCTCATTAACTAACCAATCATAAGTTTTGCCAGAACATATTAAACCTCCTCTAAATATTTCCAAGGTATCATTCAAGTGAAAAGTAAAAAAAAAATCTGGAATGTATTTAAGGTATTTTTTTCTTTAAAAAACAAACAAGCAAACCCTCCTGAAAAAAACCAAAGTCCCCCAACCCAAACCAAAACACAAAATACCCCAAAGGAGAAAAAATACCTCACATACTAAAAAAACCCCACACAAAACCAACCCCACAATTTTCAGAATTGTAATTAAAAGCTTTCTCTCTCTTTTTAAGAAGGCAGCCTAAATCTCATTGAACACTGGTCAGACATCATACTCTGTTATTGATCAGCTATGAATTAGCACAGCAAGGAAGCTTATAAGCAGTACTATTCTAAGAAATTTTAATAATCTTCAGAAAGCCGAGTTAGTAAACTGCTCACTTCAGAAATTAAGTACTTACTAATTTTAAATAATAATCAGCTGGCCACATTTTAATAAGAAAAAGGTATTTGTAAAAGCATTGCATTCTTTAATAAACTTAAGCTCTCTCCAATCTGACACTGACTACAGGTTTGGTATACCATATTTATTTATTACTTATATAGTTTCAGAAACATTTGTAAGCCACAACTATAAAGCCTGCCTTTTTATACTATTTGTATGCCCAAATATCTTGATGACAGACAAACAACAATTTTTTTAACAAATAACATCTTAGATAAAGTTCAGACAACAACAGTTGAAAGAAGCTTATTTTAAGTTTCCTTTCAGTTTACCAATACACTTAGTAAAATGGAGTGTGCCTAGAATTTAAAGGTTAGAAATATTTGGAGAAGATTAATATTCTTTCCACAACTGGCACCAGGTAGTAGTCTTTTGTGTAGTCAACATTAAGTATTTGTAATGATATTCCTTCTTAAAAAAAGAGACAATTTTAATTTCTGCTAGTTTAATTTTTGTTGAAAAATATAATTGTCTACTGATGATGAAAAATAAGAGCATCTGTTTTCTAAAAAGAAACCCTTGCAACTATTAATTCATGACTCATTCAAAACAAAGCTTGTTCTCACATCACAAAAAGTAGTAGTTCCCTTGTTTTGCATTTAAACTTCAAGCTGTCTTGTGACTGCAAAGCTTATCATGCCCAGCTACAAAACCACCCTTATAGCAAGGGAGCTGCAACAATATAAGCTACATGAAATTCAGGAGAATAATCAGCAATGCAATTTTGGATATAGATACTTTAAATAAAAGGGCAGAGCACACAGATACTCACCATTGAACACCTCATTGAATTCCCCAGGAGGAGCATGAATTATGAATTTTGCTGCTATACGCACCTTAAATACAAAAACAATCATGTCATTGTAGATACTTGCATTCATTCCTATTCAAAGCAGTTATGCATTATGGAGTTTTAACACCTCCATACAATTCAATAACTCCAACAATTTCATGAAATTGTACAGCTCCCACTGTTTCACATATTTGTTCACATTATTTCAACTACTTGATATTTACTAAAAATACAGATGATAAAGTTCCACCTCTTCAAACAGAATAGAGATTATATGTGATGGAAGCAGATGGTCAAATTGAGTCATTCTTTTACAGGCAAACAGGAAAAGATGAATATAATAAATAAGATCAATAATATATTCACAATCAATGTCAGCTTGGGAAACAACACAAACCCCAAGAGAGCCAAAAACCATAATGAAGATGCATTTGATCTTCAAAGCTTCTCTTCCAATTTTACTACATATTATATGGTTCTATACTTTCCAAAAGGCCCACACGAACAGATTAAGCTTAGAAACACTGCGTAGACACTAAAGCTCATAATTTCACCTGCATCTACCTAGGACCTCTTAGTACCACAGTACCAGCAGATAAAGCTTAAAAAAACTCTTGAGATCTTAATTAGTAATTAATGGCCTTCAGCCACAACTTCTTGCAGAGCAAACATGGCATAAGCCACTATTTTCACTGAAAGTAGGCACACCTGTCCTGGCTTCCTCTCTCCTGCTTGCACAAGCCCTTGTACAACAGCACAATGAGCAAAATCAGGTAAGTTATTGCTCAGGTCCCTGAGCTGGTTCACTACACAGCTCCACACATGTGCTTGCAAAAAACCCACAAAAATACTTTTAAAATGTGAAACAACCCTTAAACTTCTCAACTATTACCTTACTTGCAGAATATCACTTAGTGGACACACTTTGATTCAATCTTTTTCCTCCTTGAACTGTTAAAGGCACCCATTATAAAAACAAACTAAATATTGGTTCCCTAACTTAATCTGGCAAAAATTCCTACCCTTTACAATTATCCAAGTTCACCAGACACTTAAAGCTCTCTTGCATCCTCAATATGGTGTCATTATTCAAATACAGGATACTACCAGAGTTTCCCTTTCCAACAACTTCTATGATGTATCTATGGAATGAAAAGCTGGAAGATTTAGTGCTTGGGAGCACTGTTTGAAATTAGGGTGTTTAAGAAGCACGCATTTAATGAAAAATATCTAAAAATAACCAAAGAACACATTTACACATTTATTTGCATTTGAAACTACAAAAGAAATTCTCTGAGCATGCTAGAGCTCTTGAACTGACAAGAAAACAGCTTTCACAACTGAGGGTAGCAATATAGTCACTGTTTGGGCCCCTGCTTCTTGACATGGCCCAGATTTCAGACAAGGGTCTCCAGGAGAGGTGGTTCAAGTTAAAATGTCCTGGGAGAGCACTTAGCTGCCTCATTGGCAGTGTTGAACCTTCATGAGATCCCAAGTGACCAGCCCAGGCAGCTTTCAGATCATTAACAGAACACAACTATTCAGAGCTGGATAATGGAAAAGTTGTCAGTTCCCAACTTTCTAACCTAAATGCTGCATTTTGGATTGCAGGCAGCATTTGTCTGCTTCCTCAAGTACCTACCATCTCCTCTTTACTCCTACCAACTCCTCTTCCATGTAAACATGAATTTGCATTATACTGAGATAAATGCCACAAAGTTCACTCTTCAAAAAAGACACAGAGAGGCAAGAGGACCTTCTTCTATGGCTGCTTATTAAAGCAACTTAGATCAGCTCCTTTGAATTAGAAGAATGCAAACTTATCTGCGTTACACACATTATCTTAATCACCAATCCCCACACTCCTGGTACCTCTTGCTGAAGTCAAGGCACCACACACAGCTCAATGCTCAAGCCAAAGCAATATAAAGAATGCAAAACAAAGCTAACCTATATATTATTAAAGCACTTACAAAGAACAAGGGTAAGACAGGCTCCAAGGTTCTATCACCAGTGCATTTTATCAAATGACCAATAATGCTGCTTTTGGTTGGGGCAGAACTAATTCTCGTAACAGTTGCTGGTAGAAGACTGTGTTTTGGATTTGTGCTGAACACAGTGTTGATCACAGCTGTTTGTGCTGCTGCTGAGCAGGGCTTACACAGCCAAGGCCTTTTCTGCTGTTCATACTGACACACTGGCAAGGAAGCTGGGGGTGTGTGGGAGACTGGGAGGACACACAGCCAGAGCAGGTGACCCTGACTGACCAAGGGATATTCCACACCACACCAAATCATACCCAGTATATAAAGTGGGGGAAGAAGGAGGAAGGGTGGGAGATTTTTGGAGTGATGACATTTGACTTCCCAAGTCACCATTACATGTTATGGGGGACTCTGTTCTCCTACAGATGGCTGAATAGCTGCCTGCCCATGGGAAATACTGAATTAATTCCCTATTTAGCTTTGCTTGCATGCACAACTTTTGCTTTCCTTCTTAAATTATATTTACCTCAACCCATGAGTTTTCCTACTTTTACCCTTCCAATTCTCTCCCCAATCCCACTGGTGGGGCACTGACTGAGTGGCTGTGTGGGGCTTAGTGGCATGCCTGGGGTTAAACCATTACACCAATTAATAGGGTCCTGGATCAGCCCTGAAAAGCGAGTATTTAGTTGTGTGATTTCAGCATGACTATCAGTGGGCTGACTCCCAGCTCAAGATGAAGGAACAGCATTTCTTGATTCATTGACTTCATGTGAACAGGACTGCTTACCCCTGCCAAGGCCAGGTTAGCTCTGGGCAAGCAGAGAAACAAGACTTATAGACATCTGGAGTTGTGAAATAACAGGTCCATAAGTTTTAGGCAGGCAGCAGCTATAGAAGCAAAATTAAGCAAAACATGGGTGCCCAAACTGCACCCTGAATGGCCACATGCTTTAAACTGGTAACACCTGTAAGGTGAGACATTGGGTCTATACTAAAACTGGAGCACTACCTCATTTTCAGCTGTTTTGGTAATATAGATCTGGTTTTGCTTATTTTTTTCACTATCAGTAAAAACGATTCTTATAAAATTAGCTACACTATAAGTAATATTAATTCAAAAGCATTCAGATGTCCTCACGACAGACCAACCTAGACATTACTTTTTACAAACATTTTACAAGTAAATTAAATTTCTCACTGATAGTTTTTTGTGTGAAAATTCATCATAGATGAAACATTTTATAGAACAGATAGACAATCATGCACATTTGCAATGAATACCTCATCAAGTATAAAGTATATTCATGTTTACAAAAGCAAAAAAATCTAATGTGTTTTCAGAAGTTGAGAGTGTATCAGCTAAGACACTGTATTTTGCTAACCTGCCTTTGTAAAGCCAATTTAAAAGTAATCCCATTTTCCTTCAGCAGTTAAACTGAATTAACTTCTCTGTGATGAGTATCTGATAAAGCCATTATTTCCCCAATTCATACATACAGAAAGCCCATATAAAAGAATTAAATCCAGTAGTCTCACTTAACACATTAGAATTGAAAAGCAGTTACAGATATATTGCCACTGAATTTTTGCAGAAATAAATGCTCTAAAGGAGGCTTCTATTTTTCAAACCCAGACTGATACTGAAGGATAAATGAATGTACTTCCATAAGCCTCTATGAGATTAAGATCTCCCCCTTTTGGCAGCAAAAAGCCTCAGCTATCACTTGGGAAAGCACAATTAAAACAAAGGGGCACTCTGTATAAAATATGATGTTCACAGGCAACTAAAAAAAGATAAATTAAAAATGCACATAACCTGTAATATAAAGTGACAAGCAAAAAGTTAAACTGCTCTTTAGTCAAACTGAGATAGGAAGTTGTATCTGCTGAAAATAATTTTAAGAAAACCGATCAGGTGCATTTACAACCAATGCTGATTATTCAATGCGCCGAGGTGTCTAAAAATTGATTTGAGCAAGCCAAAACAGAAACATCATAATATCTTAAGAATCCAAACGACAAAACGTTTTTCCATTCAAGAGTACTTCACCCTTACACACAGTACAAGAAACTTAGGTATGTATCAGCAAGTAACAAAAAATTGCTACAGTTGAGTCTTCCTTTAGAAAACTCAAAGACATAAAACACCTGAAGTTTCTCCACTTATTACTGTAGTTACTCCCAAAACACCACCTAAAGTTTAAGATAGTGTTTTATTGATGTAGATTTGAGTCAGTTTTCAGCTTCAGGTCTTCAGAGTAGCAAGGAACTATAAACTTCAGACTTCACTAACCCAGAACATCTGATCACCAATGGTTTACTTCCACAATTCAAGTGAAGTCAAATGCTACCCCATTACATCAGTTAAAAGTTTATCAAATCTACAAGCATATTGATTTTATAAAGTAAACTATGTCAATTAAGGTAAAAATTCATACAGAGAAGCCTAGCAAAAGAGAAAAGGACAAGATTGATGTATGTGATGAATATTAGGCATTATGCCTAATTCTTTATTCTGCTAGGGATTAAAACAGTTGGTCTAGCAACAAATTCCTACACTCAGTTACAACAATATTTGCAGTTTTCAGACTACCCTAGCAAAGAGCAACGTAGTAATGTATAGAATAGTGGCAGTTATGCTAAATCTATTTTTTTCCATACTTCTGCCTTTACTTCACAATTTAATTTTTCTCAATGCATGATACCCATCAGGTACATGAGAGAAATCCTACTCTATCTTTTCCAGCCTAAGACATTCTGAAGTTTATTTTATTTTTAAGAAGTTAGAGATAGTGGCTTCAAATGCTCCGAGATCACTCTTCCTGTTCCTGCCACATGAGAAGTGACACTGGTTGGAGAAGCCCGACCTTGTGTGCTGTATGTGCCTATATATGGTCAAGGAGAAGTGTTCCCACTGCAGGGCTTCTCAGTGCCACTGTCAGCCCTGCCAAGGCAGCTCACTCCTTGGACTCTGCTAGGGTGCATCTAACAGTAACAGAGACATTAAAACTCTCCCTCTTTCATTTTTCTTTCCCCCTTTTTAACTCAACTGAAG